AAGCAGTGCTTTAAAGCATGGTCAAGGGTACAACAGAACTGCAGACATGAAATAAGCAACAAATCTTGCACCTAAATATCGCCCTACCGTGCAAGTCAAGAGGAGGTTTGAAGAATTATCTTCTTCAGCTTAATTGTAAAAACAAGATTATAAAAAAAATCTCAAACCAATTTCAATTTTAAGCAATATTACAGTATTTTTAAATGTCTCTAATATGTAAAAAAAATATATATGAATGCAAAGTCAGTTGTTACTGATACTCAGTCACTGGTTTAAATTTACAAAGAAATGATCTCATATACAGTGTCCTGACAGTGAACATCACTTGATGATAGGAAAAAAACCCTAAATAGTTCATTAGCATTCATTTTAATACTAAGATTTTAGATGAGCTATCCTTTAATGTAAAAAAAAAAAAAAAAATTGCAAGATTAAGATATATTTAAGTTTTTGCAAAAGAACTTGCATATATACCTACGTATACACACAAGGTTTTTACAAAATATATGTAAATCAAATAGCTAAATTCTAGTTCAAATCACTAGTGGAGACTATCAACATAATTGGGATTTTCATTACACAACCTTTCCAAAGTCACATTTATTCATACGGTGCCTTTCTTTCCCCCCCCCTCCAAATTACTTCCCTCAGAAGCTTTTAGTCTATAACTGCTTGTATGTGCAGGCATTAGAAGTATTATTTTTGAGGAGGCATGTGAGAAAGTTGGATCATCTCACTACTGTGATTACTTGAATAATCTACTCAATTTACATTACATAGCTATTTGCCCCTGCCCATTTCTATTATAGAAATGGTAAAAAATACACCAAAAATCCTGTGTGAAGGTATAAAGAATACCAAATATTATTTAATGAAATAGCAGTCATAGAAAATAGATCACATGGTGATATTTGTCCCTCCCTTTTCATAAGCACAGGCCAGGTCCCGTGACAAGCTCCTTACAGGCAGGCTCTCATGCTGCCCTGCTCAGACACCGGGTTCTGCTGGAGGTGTGCACACCACACACGTTTCCTCCCTAGCAGAATCATTACTGTTGGAAAATGGGTGTACAACCTTCTAAACTAGGCCTGTATACCAGCAGGGTGAGCTGCAATAAAATAAATGAGTGTATGGTATTACTGTAGACTCAAACTTAAATTGGAAGTTCAAATACTACACAATTCATGCTTTGCCTAGGAGGCATTGTAAGAGAAAAAGAAAGATGAGTCAAAACAGAGAGATAAGATTGAAAGAAACATTGCACACAGCTAGGCTGTCAGACGGAGCAGGGGGAAGACCAACTGTTTTCTCCTGACACAGTCTGTGCCTTGTAGACTCTGGCAAATCCCCTGAGATCACAACTCACTACTCCCAGAAAGGACAGAAAGCCCACTAGGAAGATATTTCTGCACATGCCCCCACTGTAACTAATTTACAACAACTAGCTGGGCTAGTGTTTGCTCCCAAAGCCCCAGTACCACTACAAACAAGGCTAGCACTGGCCTGAACAGGGTAACTTCAGTGCTACTGCACTGCCCAGCTGCTTGGAAAACGCTTAGCTAGAAAAGAATAAGTGAAACATAACTTGAATCTCAATTTAAAATGAGGTCACAACCAGGGCAACAGCTATGAGAAAAATGACAGAGGACCTCATACAAGTTTAAAGAAAGTTCTGCTCTAACATCACTCAGCAAGCAATACCAAGCTGACCAGTTAAAAGCACATAAAAGCCTCACACTAATGGGTCATAACAGAAAATAAAGGCTCTTCCACAGCAATCCAAAGTCCTTCCTTCATCATGCTGCCTGTAAGAGGATGAAACTTGGTTTTAGTGCAAGGATACTTTTGCCTTTTGTCTCATTTCAACATAGAGTTTAGCTTTCATATCAAGAACTCTATTAAAGAGATGGAAAATATTAGTCACAAAACTCGGACGATATGTGCAAGATTTCAATGAAGTAAAACACAGCTTTATTTCATTACAGCTGATCAGTAGAGATGCAAGATAATTTCAAAGCAAACAACCTCTATCAGTGGTGCATCCGAGTCCAGATGAACTTTTTCTGATAAGAACCGCAGCCACTGTTTGCCTATGGTACGTATAAGAAAGGAGTCGGGCACTAGCACGAGCAGCACAGACACAGCCAAAGGGTGGCAAAGAAGAGGTTCTACACTAAAAGAAAGTAATGAAGCAAAAAATCAGGTCAAAGAGTTTGGAAAATTATCCCTACAAAAGTAACTATTAAATGAAACTTATTAACCAAAGGAAACAATCCAAGAAGAGTTTGTATGTAAGTATGAGGTTTTGTACTTCGCAATATTAACAGAAAAGAATAGCATAGGCAAGGAATTACCTCTTTTTCTCTTGGCATGTGAAGTTATCTCAGAATAGCATAGGCATTAATTTTAGAAATGTTTCTGATGTATAAACAACTTTAACCCTATTCATATATGAATATTTTTTGTAATACTCTTAGTACAAACTAAACTGAGTGACATTACAGAAGGCAATTAATTAGAACTTTTATATAGCATTTTCCCTCTGAAAGCTCTACTGAAATGTACTCTGAGTAAAAACTGTGACATTGGGTAGTTTATAGATTCACTGGCACAGCATAAGGGTACTGGAAAAATCAAAATATATGTCATAGTTTGAAAAATAAAGAGATCTTGTTCTTTGCTCTACCAAAGCAGTTTTCCTGATATTTTTCCAAAAATATAATAACATTTAAACAGTAATTTCCAGATCAGTATTGCTTGTATCTTTTACAGACATGAATACTGTCAGGACTTAGAGTCATTTATTACCAAAAAGGCAATTCCTTCTCTGAAAGTGGTGTAACCATGTGACTTTCTTTTTGATTACGAGACCTGCAGGAAGCGCAGATCCTACACGCTAAAGAACTTGTGGCCTTGTTGAAATAGAACCTTATAATGAGCAAACAGAAAGGATACTACTTGTTATTTATATGTATTGGGTGAAAACAGCTCTCATGATCCAAGTTAGTTAGCTGAACCCTGTACTAAGTAGTTAAGATTTAGATGGGCTACTATTTACAGCAGAAGATAGGACACTACTATAGGTAAAGTCACAGGCTGCACTTGTGCAGGTTAGCCAATTCAAACCTGACACAAATTGCTCGAGGACATGTTGCAGTTTTGTGCACTAGTCCCATCTTATTTTAGGACTAAGACTATTACCAGCAGAAACAAGCAACATTAGACTAACGAAACAGACCATGCTTCAGTGGAAAGAAGACATACCAAAGAAGCACTGAAAAAGATAAAATCAGCATGCTCTGTTCCTCAGTCCATTAGGAAATGTTTCCAATATAAAAAGAAAAGAACCACAAAGCCCTGGATGTATGCTTGGCAAATGTGTGTACTCAGCAAGCCCTGGGGAACAGTACTTGCTTAACACCTCTAACTCAAACTAAAACAGTTCCTCAGAATGATAACATTTCCTCATACAAATGTGACTTCATGTAGCAACCACCAGAAGAAAAAAAATTACTGATCGACACTTTGAATTTAGATGGAAGTAGCTGAACTAGATTATTTAATATTGCTTCATCTAATATTTCTTAACCATTACTGTATAGCAGGCAACCTACATAAGCTTCTTCAGGTTTCAAAAAAGCCAAAGATTGTGTTTTGTTTATATTTAAGTGAATAGAAGACTGATGATTGCAACATGAAAACACCCAAAATAGAGGGCATTGGATAAAATAGTCTGAAGTAAGGTGATAAGCAATAACCATATGCCAGAACTTAAATGCATAACTGTCTTAAATATGGAATATTGTGCAGTTTTAAAAGATTGCTTTTAGGCAGAGGGTGAGATGAGTAAAGACTAATGAAATAAATAAGCGAGTGTAGAGGAAGTCATACAGAAACCAAGCAGTGAGTGTAGTTCAGAGAATTCCACAAAAGTGGGAAACGGGCAACGGCCTCTGGCAATCCTACAGCGCTGCGGGGAGCCTGAGCAGCAGGAGTTGCAGTGCAGCAGTCAGGCAGACTTAGGAAGTTTCAATATCCTGTAGGAAACCCACTGGGTAAGACTCTCGTATAATGTAAAATTGGATATAGATGTCAGGAAACAAGGAAAATAAGACTAAAGGTAAATGCAATAATTTCCCAGGTTCAGAAGGTTGCACTGGGAGATAGAGCCTTGTTCTGTTTTATTATGTATTTTAGTTTGAAAGAAAAACTGGTTGTATGAGGAGTATGTGCCAGTCAAATCCAAACATGAAAGAAACTGAGTTTAAATAAATAATGTATAAGAATTGTTTTGATTTCAGGCAGGTCTATACAAACTTACCCACTGTCCCATGTAAACCTTGCAAAGAATTCGGTGTCTCTTGAAAGCCAAAGGAGAAGTAATAAACATACTTCAGGTCACAAGTTTGTTGGGGTTTTTTTTATTATTTTGGAGGGGTTTTTTTTGCACAGACTGCCTCATTCCTAATAAAAAATTACACCCTTTTAAAATGGATGTCTATACTAAAGCAAGTTTAATACCAAATTTTATTGACTGATATTTACTGGACAAATATCAATGTTAATCTGAGACACTTAAGTTACATAGCACTGTCTAGTTTACATTTAGCTCTGATCTCTGATCCGAGTCACCCTGAACTTTCAGGGAGAGGACTCCTGGTTTCCTTCTGCTTTGGGTCAGGCTCAAGCTTGTAATCTCTTTTCACAATTGGAAAAGCAAAGAGTGAGAATTAGTAACGCTTTTATTTTTCCATTTGATATCCATTAGACTGCTTGATTATATTTTTATTAATTTTTTTAAAAGTTCTTTCATGTTCAAAAAATATATTTTGGTCTAATTCCTCAGTTATGACTCATAGATAAAGATTAGATACATAAAATAAGAATACTGCTAGAACTGCTAGCACTGCTATATGGAGACTGAATTGCAAGTGGAATTTAAGATAGCCAGAAATAAGCACAGTAGGTTTAAAACTCCTGTATCTTCCATGTTTAGGAGAATGAGTCCAAATACTTGCTGGTTTTGCAAGATATTCAGAGCAGAAGAAAACGGGATCAATTCTAAGTAAGTAATGATAAGATTCTTCTATTCTGCAGTACATGCAGCTAGGAGAGACAAAAATTTCAAAATTCACAGCAGAAATTTCCTTTGCAAGCTTAAGATCATGCAAAAGAGTGCAACATCTTCACAACTGCCCCAGCACACCACGTGCATATAGCCAATTCCTTTACAGCACACGAAGAGTAAACTGGCATTTCTCTGGTGGAAGGAGGGTATATCCCAGTGGGAACTTCTTTTATATGAGATAGGAATAGGCCTAAACTAATCCCTGGATTAAGTCCAGATTTGGGCCTGTGAAGAATTTGTAAACCTAACGTTTTGGGTGAATCTTTTAAAAGAATTCAGACTTTTGGTGAACAGTGAATACACTTGTGGTGGGTAAGGGACATGGCCAAGTGCCTCCTGCAAGTCCTCTGCTACCACCAACCTCGATGGAGGCCAACCATAGCTAGAACTTTGGTTGGCATGTCCCAGTGGGGTAATGAAATGCTTCCATCCAACAAGCCTGCCAGCTACTGTCAGATCATACATGGTATTGATCTATTGATTAGAGAAAAACGTGTCCTCCACAGCAATACTGAAGTGTGTCCAATGACTCCTGAAACTGCCATTTGGCTGAGGTCAAGTGGTAGAAATCTAGACAGCATTTACCAAGAGTGCCTCCTGGCTGAGCCTTCTCTCCCACACAGCAGTGGCCAGGGAAGCCACTCACACTGGAGAGGGCACAATAAGTGAGTGATAGTTCCCACAAGACACTACAACCACATTTTTCAATTTAAATTTTGGAGTCCCAGCTATAAAGCCTTAGTTATTTTTGGAGAATATTCACTTTTTTTTTTTCAGTCTAATATATGTTTTCAGCAAATGTAGTCATGTTGCAAATCACTGCAGCCAGAAGTTTACTGTCAGCACAGCAGCTATGAAAGTGGCATTAATACAGATCTTAATAACCCATGTTCACATCTCCCTTACCACCTTTCATATTTTCCTCATTTTTAAAAGGAAAGTAAAAACATAAAAAGGTTTTCCTCTGTGTCAGCTGCCCCATCAGGCAGTGTTCTTTCTGCTTCACAGATTAATGCTAAAGACAAATAATCAGAATTGGAAATAAGATGGCCCTACGGACGATGCTCAGTGAGACAGACAAGATTGTCACTCGTTCTATATACAAGTGCTGTTGCTGACAGAGGTGAAAAATTATGTGCGTCAGTAACAGTGAATGACTCAGAAGCAGCTCTTAAGGAAGAAAAGCTTTCAAAGGACTAGAGATTCTCACTGCCCATAACCACACCTTCATGAATTCATACAGAGAGGAAGCCAGTAGCTCATGAGAAGGGAGGGAAAAAAATACCCCAACAATCAAACACCCCCCCAAAAAAACCCCCAAACAAAACAACAACAAAACCCCCACCTTTTACTGGCAAGAGTTGCTAGAGTTATTAACACCACAGTTTGATAGTGGTAAAATTTCTATTACTATATATTCCTCTGATCAGGTCAGACTGAAATATCCTGAAATAATAATCGGTGAAAGAGAGAATTATATCAAGTTAAAAATAAACAGGTGATCACCAATTTAAAAAGCTACAAAGCTACTAATGGCTGCTGTGCAGCAGAGATCTATGAAGCATCATGCAGCACTCACACCAAAACAAATTTTGCTTTTAATTTAAAAAAAAAAAAAAAAAAAAAGTTCTGTGATACTAAGTAGCTGTTGTCAAAATTGTAGCTTGTATGAAAACAAAACACTCAATGAGAAGAGATCTCCTCTCCAGTTCAGCTGACGCATAGTGGAAAGCACCCACTGAAATACATCTCTCGTGTTTTCTTCTACTAATATAAGCATAAGCATTGTTTCCAAGTTACCAGCATTGATGTCCTATAACTTCAATGCTTAAAAATTAGTTGGTGTAAATGGAGCTACATGAACTTAAATGGAACTATTGGCCCTCAAACATTTGTTTTCCCTTAAATTGTTTAGTCTCTCACCTCACTACTTCCATATATTTTCCCAGAATCAGGCAGGAGACTCCTACATGCTTATAAAATTATTGCTTAAGAATAGCAAACATGAAAGAAAGGAACCATATTTTAGTAATCTCCAAGAACTGTCTAGATTAGTAATAGTGTGTCATACTGTATTGTAAACAACAGGAAAGAGTCCCTTACAGCTAAGGTTGTATTAACTTTTTATTTACCTTATGTGCAGAGCTTATATTCAGCCCTCAGCTGAAAAGTCAATTTAGATCTTAAAGGCCTTTAAATATTACAATAAGATTTTGAGCCTTTAAAGACTTTGCTACTAAATAAAAACATCAACATTTAATATATAAACTATATAATGATTCCTGTCCCAATGAAGTTGCTATCTAGACAGCTAGTACTTTCTTTGTGCTTCTCCTAAGCACAATTTAAATAAGTGAATGCCATTTCCAAAGGAATGACATGGGAGCACCTTGAGATGGCACTGTATGTGTTACAGCAAGAATATTTGCTTCAGCATAAGGTCTGGGACACACAGAAAAACCTTTTTAAAGGTAAGCTTCGTACAGATCTTATTTAAAACATGGGACAGATTTTCCATAATGTAATTTCATTTGATTTTTTATATTCTGAACCACAGCTAATCTCACATTAATTTCCTTTTTTTTTTTTTTTCTCTAAAGGGTGTCTTTGGAGGAAGTGCTACAATGGTCCCAGTCTTTTGAAAAGCTGATAACAAGTAAATGTAAGTAATTGTATGTTTGTGTCCCAGATGGATTACTGAAAAAAATTCCCACAAAGCAAAACCAGTAAGTCATGCAGTATAATGTATGTTGTCTTATATGCAGCTAATGAAAAACAGCTTTGTATGACATGCTTAGCATGGATCACACTGAAATTAAATGTGGCATGCTGTGTTTTCCCAAACTTGCCATTTCTGCAAGCACAGGTAGTTCTTTTACAGACAGCATGGTAAGGGCAGGTTTATCTGCCATATCCCCAGTTAGAGCACTGTATGTAGCAACATATATTAGAAGAACATGAAAGAAAAGTTGACTTGGGAAGCCCTGTAAATACACCATAGCTAATGGTACCTCTATGCAGTGTAATGCCATGGAACGTAACTCAGCCACTCATCTCAGGTATGGGAAGAACTGCAGCTGCAGTAGCAAATCTGAACTTTCCCACTGCAGCATCTCCCTGCCTTGTTCAGGGCTCAGAGCTCTCCCACATTTCTTATCTAGCCAGCAGGCTGGAACATCACTGCTGAATTGCTTTTTTAAAAAAATACTGATGAGAAAGTCACGTACAGAGTTACGTCACAGCACAAACCTCTAAAAATTATTCCTAAGGACTGGCTTTATTTTCAAACTACAGACAAATTGCAAAGAGCAAGAAGAATAAAAGAATTTGTAAAAACTATAAAGAAAGATTTTGCCATTAAAATCTGTAACAGCAAACTAGTATATTACAGTTTACAGGGAAAGCACAAGGAGAAAGTTCACAACAGAAAACATTTTAAAGAAACAAATTACAGCACAAGCAGCAGGCATGCACGCCATTGCTGTTACTGCCAGATGACAAGTAGTGCTCAACATCTTTAGAAATATGAAAGCCCAGAGGGCTGCACCAGCAGGAAGGCTTGCTTTAAATAAAGTGCTTGTAGTTTCCAGTTGTATTCAGACACTGCCCTTCTTAAAATGTCTAATTCACTGCACTTACCTGGCACTATTTGTGATTTAATTTTGATTTCATTTAAAAGCTTAATGACACCAAAAAATGCAAAGTTGAACTCACATGAAAAGCCAGAAACTCTAAAGCCAATGGATTCGCAGCTCTTTATGAAAGGGAGGCAAAGTATTTGCCTATCTTAGGTTTTACTCTGA